CGTCCATTCGGTGAAAGGAAGTGTGCAAGGGCCTGTTGAAATGCGCAAATGCACAACGGAAGATCATAAACAGATGCACCGCACAAACAGAGAATTGGACAAGCACAAACAACCCTAAACCAACAGACTTCACTAGAGGTGAACTGAAGCGGCCTGTCAAGCATGTCCCTAACCTTTCAGACAGAAATATCAAGCGAGAAAGCTAGCGTTGGACTGTCCGTCTAAGTTCAGATTCACGCAGAAGAACTAAACAGAATAAGATCTTGACCTGCTCTCCCATAGCCTGGAGCACTCACCGCAAGGCACGTTATTGCACGCTCGCTCCTCGGATCTCAAAATCTTTTGGCCTTCAGGGAGTCCTTTGTTCTGTTCCTCAACCGTCTTTCCTCCAAACGTAGCTTCCACCTTGCTACGGGAACGGTGGCGGACCTGCGTACCGCCGCCACATTGTTCGCTGCAAGGTCCCCATCCTTCCCAGTCGCCGACGACTTCATCGACAGGGCAGGGTTGCGTGTTGCATTCAGTAATTTCTATGGGCCCTTCCGGGTGCAACTCTATGCACGATCGACCGCCATGCTGGGCATCGTCAAGCCAAGGTTCCCTTCTACGCTCTTGCGTGCCGCCGCCACAAGTCTTCGAGCACTCGGTAAAGCCAGACCACTCCCCACATGTTGCATCGACAGGGCAAGGTATATCATTGCACTTCTCGGTCTCTCGCACAGCTATACCCTGTTGTTCAAGCGTCTCCCCCCCATTTAGTTCGCCTATCTGAGGATACCCCTCCCGGTCGCGGTGCCTTGTACCGCCTCCACATGTCGCGGAGCATTCGGACCAGTCACCCCACGGTCCCGGCTGTTGCTGAACTGGGCAAGGGGACTTCTGGACAGACTCCGTCTCTCTCTGATATTTAGGAGGGTTCTGCTCAGCACATGAAAGACCACCTCCGCTGGCTGGCGGATTTTCGTAATCTTGCCTTTCTCTCTGTCGCGTCGCCGATCCACAGGTGGTGCTCCATTCGGACCAGGGGCCGAACTCCCCACAATGCGCGTCAACCCTGCAGGCCGGCATGCTACACGGTTCCGTGCGTATTAGACCAGGAGACTGTTCAGCGCAGGACCGACCCTGAGGAGCTTCACAGGTAGGGCACGGTGGTGTTCCCGGCTGCTGTGGGGCGATCTCTACACGGGTGCTCGTCCGCTTTCCCTCTGTGCCGCACTCCCCCTCGCAAGGCCCGAATTCGCTCCAGTCACTACATACTGCATCTTTCGCAAGGTCTCTGCATGCAGCCTGGATGATGGTGCTGACTTGTTTGCCGACATCTACCCAATTCGTCTGCAAGTATCTGGGGCAATCCGTAGTATCGCAGCCTGCAATACTTCGACATTCTGACGAGTTAACTCCTGTACCGACTCCTAAGACAACAACGACCACTCCACGTTCGCGCAGGCTTTTGGCAGCGGATAAAGTCTGCGCGCGTTTACTGCTGGCACCGTCCGTCATCACCAACACCATCTTCGGCACACCTTCCCGGCCTCCCTTCTGAGTATTGAAGAGCATGTCCCCCGCTGAATTGAGTCCAAGGTGAGTGTAAGTGGAACCTGCTGCATACGCCAGATTGGCTGCTGCGTTGGCGAACAATTCCGTGCTCTGGGCTCTAGAGTCGCTGAGGTCCCAGTGATTCACAGCTCTGGTGCCGAAAGTAACCAAACCCATGCGGACATCTTCAGGGGAGAGAGGCATGGTACGTGCAAAGTCTTGTAGAAAGGTACGCACTTTCTTGTAGTTCCCGGTACCAATAGAGCCTGACTCGTCGACCACCGCCACGACGTCCAGAAGGCTTGTGCAGACTTGATCCGCGTCCGACCTGACAGCTGAAGCCACAGAGAAATCACACAGGATCGGACTCGCATAACAATAAAATCTGGACAAGGAAAATATGCCCAAAGCAAGTGAACACTTTGCATGTACGAGTAGCCCATGAAGAGGAGCCGGCAGCCGGTAGGCTTGACACCGCCAAAGCCATTCAAGAGGATGCCCCCCAATGATGGATCCACAGAAGCTTGCACAAATTCGTCAGACGAAGAGGCAGCAGTGTACTACGATAAAGAAACACCAAGTGTACGGTAACATAGGCATCACGGCATACAGAAGACTTATCCCCAGAGTCCGCGCATTTGACACCGTCAACGAACAAAGTGTGTCTACCAAAAGTCAGACATCAAGCATGAAAATTACTGCAGCAATTTGATCCTGCGTAGAGTCAATGAAAGCATAACACTGGTTGGGTTCGTGCCACAAAGACTGCCACAGCACCGCGCACCGAGCCACCGCAAGCTACTCAGTGGTCTTATAGCCGGAAGAAATGCTGCTTCCTGCAATAAGGTCATCTTTACGAACCTTCAGGTGAACAAAGGAAGATAAAACCAGCAGCGAGAGCCACTAATAGTGAGAGTGCCCTGGAGGGCGCTAGCCTCCGAAGAAACGCCATTGCGGCGGTGATACGAGGAAAAGGCAGGACCAGTAAAAAAGATAAAGGAAGTGAATATAATGAAATGAACCTGCAGAAACCGCTTGATTTGAAGCCAGACCTGAATAGTTTTGTGAGGCGGCTGAACTACGATGCCCTCGTGGTGTTCCTGCTCTTGCGCGCTGGCAGCTTTCCAGCACGCCTTGGTTCCCCGCGGGATCTGCATGCCGGCCGCTGCGGACGCAAATTTGTTATTGCTTTTGGATATTGTTCAATATATTCAGTACATTTCTGAGATTTCATATCCCTTTGCATTAGAGACGGCCTTCGACTTTGCTGCGTCGTGCATCGACGAGCCTCGCCACACCCCGGCTGCGATGGTTGGGCAACTGCTTTTAACTACATCTCCCACCAGATTTCCATAAAACCTATAAGGGTGTATATTCTTTATCTCTGAATTGACCAGCTTCTGCTCAGGATGACTTGAAAAGCGGACATTTTCCTTGGCATTGCCACGAGCCAGGGCTCGTGCGATGAGCGTACCTGTTCTGTCTTAAAGTAGTGAAAACGCAGGGAAGAAGGCAGAAAAGAGCGGTAGAGAATAGTTTCAGGATACGTTCCGTGAAATTTGCCATCTTAATGAATGTCTCTT